GGGGGGGCCAGGGGCCCCACGGGGAAGCTTGGGGTCACGTGGTTGGGGGCCCGAACCTTCCGGAAGGATGGAAAAGGGGGGTGTGCCTTAGGGCAGAGCCTTCTACGCCGAAGCGTTATAAGCGGGGTGTGAACGGGGAGCAGGGCGTGAATGGGGAGCGGGACATGAATGGAGAGCCGGGCTGTTCTACTCCATGATGAAGACGCCATGAGAAGTCCTCGAGTCTCCGATCGTCATTGGTGACCAGGCGGCCGTCACCTGCTCTGGGTCACGCTGTGCAGTGCTCCCCGAGTGTTAGTGAGGTTAGGAAGGTGGTCACCGCCTTGTGTCTAATGTTCACGTTCGTGTTATGTGTTAATGAGTAGTGTTGCCTCCTAGTCGAGTGTGCGCCTCATTCGAACCCATTACATATTTGTTGTTGTAACGATCTGACCTCCATGCCCCGACTTGACGTCTGTGAAACAGGTCCCTGCGGGGTGGGCTGGTAGGAACGAACAAATGAATGGCTATAATAAAATGAAATGGCGGGGGTACGATACGAAGGGAGAGTTTGAGGCCTAGTTCTAGGCTTTAGGCCTAGCTGTAGGCTTTAGGCCGCTGTGAGTTAATTTTTAATTTAAATTTTTTATTAAAAGCTATCTGAGGGAATTATAAGGGAATGTTACACTTGTTTAGCCAGGAAAGCCTCACAGAGTCTAAAGGTTTTTGTAGGGTCCTGCCAAGTGTTTGCAGTAGGGGGCGATGTTGCTACACCTAATCGGACATCGGACAGACGGAAGATATAATCTATTGTAGGCTGGTTCACTTCGTTCCTACCAGTAAAAGACATTTATAGCTCGTCGACTTTCCTCCTCCAACCTAAATACATAATCTGGTTCTGACTGATTTCCACCACTAGTTACAAGGGCGTCGTTGGCGAACTTTCGTCACACATCACTGTGAAATGACACGCAAAGTTGCCAATTCAAACAAGATGAATTTAATCTTAAAAAGCAAAAGCAATTAAACATCAGCCATCTTCCAAGCAACATGCTGCACGCATTTTGTTTGACAATCGTCTGTTGAGTGGGAGATCAGAGAACGGCAGGTGTATGCATTGCAATCAGGTACAGGCGATATCCCTCGATTCAGGAACGTTGTGTGGACCAATCAACTTCAAGAACAGTGCATACATTATCAGAGTTGTGTTTTTTGTTTCCATTATGACTGCAGGTATTGTGGTCTATGCAAACATGACTCCTCGTAAAAAAAGGTGTCAGTTTTGTTGCCAGATAAAAAGGTTAAAAACCAATTATCATATGTTTAACTGGCAAATGAGGTACCAATGGTGTAAATGCTTCACCCCGAGCTCTCATACTCTAATGGTGCATTGTCTTTGAGACGTGCGCCTTTTGGCGTCATTTGGTCCAACCCATATGAGACTAGGCTCTAAGGAAAGCTGTCTCGGGTGTGGACCAATCAACTTTAAGGACAGTGCACATACATTATCAGAGTTGTGTTTTTTGGTTGCATTATGACTGCAGGTATTGTGGTCTATGCAAACATAACTCGTAAAATGGTGTCAGTTTTGTTGCCAGATAAAAGGGTAAAAACCTTTTTCATTTTTATTTGACCAGGTGTAAGGCCCAATTGAGTTGTGTAGCGTCTTTTATTTAGAAGCGACCCTGACCATCACAAATGATAGCTCAAGGAAGTTGCTGATTTCATCATCAAATTTATAGCAGCAGCCACATACTCCAAACGAGTGGCGATGTTGATTCTAAATGTGGATTGAATAGAACAGAGGATCCTGGAGAAATTTTCAAGCGACCACGGGGAGAGAGAAAGAGGCATGCCACCCGCAAACATTCAACAGACAACGCCAGGGTCGGAATTGCACGCACGACCTGCTGTAAACAAGGCAAGGTAGTTGTGGCACATTAGGAATGGACCTCTCTATTAATGAAGGTCCTTATGTGCTGTGCAGGACATCAATGCACGTGTGTACACCAGCATGCGATACTGAGTCAGGCCTGTAGGTGGCTGCCAGGGTTATTGAGTAACCTGACCCATACACCAGTCACGTGGTTTATGGCGACTCGGTTGAAAATTGCTGCGTGTGATATATATGTGCTGTTGCATTTTACACGTAAAGGACCCAAATGTTGTTTTTGATAGTTATAGAAATGTTGTAGTCTTCAAGATTAGCTTTGAATTGGTAGTTTGTGATATATTCAAAAGGAGGGGATTTAGCACTGTACACTGTAAAGGATGACGTACTACAGGGGCCATCAATAAATGACGTCACGCACCTGGGGGGGGGGGGGGGGGCTCAGACATTTGTGACGATGTGTGACGAGGGGGGGGGGGTTGAGAAATGTGACATCACATCAAAATGCGCAACTTTAATTAAATATACAATTGTTATAACAACATTCCTACGTATTTAATGTGACAGCGTCACATCGCATCACGTCATTTATGGACGGGCTCATAGTTAATACTGGTAATTATCTAACCCTAATAATGTTTATTCAATAACCATGCCCATGCACCCAGGACCCCCTACCTCCCCGTGGTGCCGGACGGGCAACGCTGTCGAGGGGGTCAAATACTTATTTCCCTCATTAAAATGCAAATCAATTTATAACATTTTTGACATGCGTTTTTCTGGATTTTTGTTGTTGTTATTCTGTCTCTCACTGTTCAAATAAACCTACCATTAAAATTATAGATTGATCATTTCTTCGTCAGTGGGCAAACGTACAACATCAGCAGGGGATCAAATACTTGTTTCCCTCACTGTAGGTGTTAATAGTGTTGCCACCAAGTCGAGTGAGACCTCCGTGCCCCGACTGGACGTCTGTGAAAACATTAACCCGTAAAAACAAAGTTTTTCACTATAAATCCTTTATATGCGTGGCGGCTAAAGTCCTCTCGTCCTCTGGCTTGAGATGGCTGCCACCTATGGGTCAGATGATTGCCTGCCACCATTAAGCAATTGGTAATTAAATATAAAAAAAATTTTGCCTAAAAAGTGTAACGTTTTGGAAAAAAAAAATTTTCACGAAAATAAATTGTCACGCACAACGAGTCTGTGTGCAAAATGTCAGCTCGATTGGATCACGGGAAGTGGGTTAAAAAAAACGACCGAAAGATTTGCACGGTCCTCAGCAAGCAAGTGAACTTAATATAAAGGATTTAATAAGTATAACCAGTAAAAACAAAGTTTATCACTATAAATCCTTTATATGCGTGGCGGCTAGAGTCCTCTCGTCCTCTGGCTTGAGATGGCTGCCACCTATGGGTCAGATGATTGCATTGCACCATTAAGCAATTGGTAATTAAATATAATATTTTTGTCCTAAAAAGTGTAAAATTTTGGAGAAAAAAAATTCACGAACATTAATTGTCACGCACAACGAGTCTGTGTGGCAAATGTCAGCTCGATTGGATCACGGGAAGTGGGTTAAAAAACGACCTAAAGATTTGCACGGTCGTAAGCAAGCAAGCAAGTGAACTTAATATAAAGGATTTAAAAAGACATTTATAGCTCGACCAATTTCCTCTTCCAACCTAAATACAAAATCTGATTCTGACTGATTTACACCACTGGTTACAAGGGGCGTCGTTGGCGAACTTTCTTTACACATCACTGTGAAATGACGCACAAGGTTTCCAATTCAATGAAGATTCATTTAATTAAAAAAGCAAAAACAATAAAAAGTCGCCCATCTTCCAAGCAACATGCCGCACGCATTTTGTTTGACAATCGTGTGTTGAGTGGGAGATCATAGAACGACAGGTATAAGCATTGTAATCAGGTACAGGCGATATCCCTCGATTCACGAATGTTTGGGTTTACGAAGATTTGCGTGAACGCGATGTACAAATGACAGACGCTTTTTTGTCATGATACCATCATCATCGTCGTCATCACGTGTAAATTTATAGCAGCAGGCAAATAACCCTCAACGAGTGGTGACGTTGATTCTAAATGTTAAGGGGAAAAATCGGAGGATCACCGAGAGAGAGAGACACGCCAAGTAATATGGTCCGGTGAGGCTTAAGAGGGTGAGCCTTTGTTATGGAGAGGTACCTTACCATATTAATTGGACCTTACCCCCCCCCCCTTCTCCAACCATTATATAAACGGAGTGGTAGCTCCTGCAATCTCTCATTTACTTGATACAGCTGTCGTGGCTGTGACGGTTCCACCTGAAGACGGAAGCTTGTGTTGCCTCCGAAACGTCGTGATTTTTATTTTATTTTACTTTTATTAATTTTAATGTTTTTACCTACGTGACTTTACCGAAAAAAACCTAAGAATATGAATCCTTGCAGTCACGAAAGCTTCAAATCTAGGACCTTTCCATTCCCTTCTGCCATACAGGATCCACTGTCTGCCTCTCTAACACATTCCTGCAGAGGGAGCTGGTAGGAACACGTTGGGTTGCTCGGTCAATGGCCTGCAGGGTCAACGGCGGCGTGGTGTATTCCGCAAATATGCCCGACTGTGAGGGCGGGCACAAGCCGGCGTGAGTAGGTTAAACGTTGAGTTTTATAAGGGCATCACGGGGTGACCAGCCCCTCCCCACCCAGCCCCACCACTCCCACCCCCCACCCAGCCCCACCCTCCCCACACAGCCCCTCCCCACCCTCCCCACCCAGCTCCTCCCCACCCTTCCCTCCCCACCCAGCCCCACCCTTCCCACCCAGCCCCTCCTGCACGACGGACACAATAATCCCCTGTGGGCTGGTGTAACTAGGAGGTTCCTACCAGTATAAACGATGGTATATCATTAACCACTTGGGTATCTGTGTGGTGAGTCTATGGGTCTCGGCGTGACGAGTCTATGGGTCTCTGTGTGACAAGTCTATGGGTCTCTATGCCGTGAGTATATGTCTATTTGTGTGGTGAGTCTATGGGTCTCTTTGTGATGAGTCTATGGGTCTCTGTGTGATGAGTCTATGTGGTCTATGTGTGTTTAGTCTATGGGTGTCTGTGTGATGAGTATATGTCTGTGTAGTGAGTCTATGGGTCTCTGTGTGACGAGTCCATGGGTCTCTGTGTGATGAGTCTATGGGTCTCTGTGTGGTGAGTCTATGGGTCTCTGTAGGTCTCTATGAGTCTCTGTAGGTCTCTATGGGTCTCTGTGTGGTGAGTCTGTGCGTCTCTATGTGGTGAGTCTATGGGTCTCTGTGTGACGAGTCCATGGGTCTCTGTGTGATGAGTCTATCGGTATCTATGTGATGAGTCTATGGGTCTCTGCATGATGAGTCTATGGGTATCTGCGTGATGAGTCTATGGGTCTCTGTGTGACGAGTCTACTTGTCTCTATGTATGTACATACGCACGTTGAACTCCTTTAGCAGCGTAACGCAACAATCTAGATTCTAGACGATGTAAACGTTGCACAACTCCACCGGTAAAAGCGTCGAGAGACAACCGAGTGGAAGGGCAAAAGCGATTGGACAGAACCCAGTCACGTGGGAGGAGGGGGAGGGGTGCGGCTGTGACGTCACGAGCTACACCAGAGCCCTGCTGACCACGACGCTGGAGGCCACGCCCATCAGGGCCAGGGTCACGTGAGCTGCGCCCAACGGTCGAGGGGCGGCGTTGACGTTGCAACCGTCACTCTGGCAGCACGTGGTGGTCAGCGTGGCTCCTTTGTAGCTGAAGTCGAATACTGTGATGGTGTCGCAATAGGCCTTGGCGAGGCAACTCTTGAGGAGGACGTAGGCTGGGTGGAAGAGAAAGCACGCGGGTCTCATTGCAAGTAAAAAGTATATAATTAAGTGAGCTCATCGTATGTGGTGAACTTTTTTCGTGCCGTACGTAGCCAAGCGTGCTAATCTGTGGGTGTCTTTAGGTCTGATAATTGTTTTTTTTACCCTTCTATCTGGCAACAAAACTGACACCTTTTTTCTTACAAGGAGTCGTGTTTGCATAGACCACAATACGTGCAGTCTTAATGGGGTCATCTGGTCCAACACCATGTGAGACGAGCCTCTAAGGAAAGCTGTCTCGGGTGTGGACCAATCAACTTCAAGGACAGTGCATATGTTATCAGAGTTATGTCTTTTGTTTGCATTATGGCTGCAGGTATTATGGTCTATGCAAACATGACTCCTTGTAAAAAAAGGTGTCAGTTTTGGTGCCAGTTAGAAGGGTAAAAAAACAATTATCATATTTTTTATTGGCAAATGAGGTTCCAATGGTGTCTTTAGGTCTGGTATGGGTGTTTGTGGGACTCTGTGTATGTATGTGTGTGTATGTTGAACTTCTTTCGCACCATACATAGCCAACCGTGCTAATCTGTGGGTGTCTATAGGTCTGTTATGGGTGTTTGTGGGATTCTGTGTATGTGTAGTGACATGGGAGGGGAGGGGCTGCTGGGGGGCTCTGGGTTCCCAGGCGGCCCAGACGCTTAAGCCCCTTGGCGCCACCAACGGGGGGGGGGGGGGGGGGGCTGTGTGTGCTCTGTGGGATATCTGGGGGCGCACACGGCCCCACCCCTCGTTGGGGACTAGGCATAAAAGGGCAGCTCCCTGGACGATCGGGGCCAGTTGTAGCTCAAGACCCAAGACCCAAGACCAGCCATGTGAGGACCCTGGGACGCTGTGAGAGCGAGTGGTGGGACTCTGGAACTTCCGGCTCTACGACCTTGTGAGGGCGAGTTCCAGAGCGTAGCCAGAGTAGAGTATCTAGGCTGTGTACCTAGGGTGTGTACCTAGGCTGTAACAGAGTATCAGGACTGTTGGAGTGTTGGACTGTTGGAGTGTTGGACTGTTGGAGTGTTGGACTGTTGGAGTGGTGTTGGATTGTAATAAAGAAGTTACCTCTACAAGTGTCTCCGGAACCCGTTACATATGTATGTGTGTGTATGTTGAACTTCTTTCGTGCCGTATGTAGCCATCCGTGGTAATCTGTGGGTCTCTGTAGATCTCCATGGGTGTGTGTGGGTCTCTGTATATGTTTGTGTATGTTTGTTGAACTTCTTTCGCACCATACATAGCCCACCGCGCTAATTGCAGGTTCGCGGGGAAGGAAAACAAACTAAAACACAAAAAGCAGTTTTAAGAAACGAGGATGTCAATTGAGATGATGTTTTAAAAGTGTAAATCTCTCGCAGTGCATCCGAAAGCTCCGTGCGATGATGCAGTGGCCACCTTTGTTCGACAGCCAGTCAAAAAGCCCCTACCACAAACGGTGGCTGATATCATCAACATCATCATCGCGTGAAAATGTAAAGCAGCAGCAGAATACTCCGAACGCCGTGACGTCAATTCAAAAATGTGGAGGGGGGAAAACCGGAGGACCCCAGAGAAATTTCAACACATTGGAGAAGAGACACCGATTGGGATGCAGAAACCCATAAACTCATCACGTAAATAAACCATTGACTCATCAGACACAGAGACCCCAAGACTCTTCACATACAGAGACCCATAGACTCACACACATAGACCCATAGAAGCATCACACACATAGACCCATAGGCTCACCATATAGAGAACTCACAGACTCACCACACAGAAACCCATTGACTCAACACACAGAGACCCCATAGATTCATCACCGCAGAAAGACCCATACACTCATCACACACAAAGACCCATAGACTCCGCACACAGATACCCTTATAGACTCTTTACAAACAGAAACCCAACGTCTCATCACACACAGAGGCCCATAGACTCACCAGTCAGAGACTCATTGACTCAACACACAAAGACCCGATAGACGCACTACACAGAGACCCATATAATCACCACACAGAGACCCATAGACTCACCAATCAGAAACTCATTGACTCAACACACAAAGACCCGATAGACTCATCACACAGAGACCCATTGACTCATCACACAGAGACCCATAGACTCACCACACAGAGACCCATAGACTCACCACACAGAGACCCATTGACTCAACACATAGACCCATAGACGCACTACACAGAGACCAATAAGCTCACCACACAGAGACCCACAGACTCACCACACAGAGACCCATAGACTCATCACAAACAGAGGCCCCTAGAATCATCACACACACACACATAGACCCACAGAAGCATCACACACATAGACCCATAGACTCATCACGACACAGACACCCACAGACTCATCACACAGAGACCCATTGACTCAACACACAGAGACCCCATAGACTCATCACCGCAGAAAGACCCATATTCTCACCACACAGAGACCCTTAGACTCATCACCACACAGATACCCCATTAACCCATCACACACATAGACCCATAGACTCATCATCACACAGACACCTACAGACTCATCACACAGACACCCATAGACTCATCACACACAGACACCCATATACTCATCACACAGACACCCATAGACTCATCATCACACAGACACCCATAGACTCATCATCACACAGACACCCATAGACTCATCATCACACAGACACCTACAGACTCATCACACAGACACCCATAGACTCATCACACACAGACACCCATAGACTCATCACCACACAGAGACCCATAGACTCAGAACAAAGTGAGTACAGACGCGCGTCTTGCGAGTGCATCATGAGCCTGGGAGTCACTGCTGAACGCAAGGGGCCCACCCCCATCCCGAGCTTTGCGAGAATAAGCGACGCACTTACAGGAGCCCTTGTATACTAGAATTGTCGCGCAGGTATCCAGCGAAACGTCGGAACACGTGACGAGGCCGCCCGCGTTGCACGCAGTATTATTGATGGTCGGGCTGCACGAGTAACATTTGAGGCTGTGCCCTGTACATCCACAAAATCAAGACATAAGAACAACACCGATCATCATCATCATCACGGCAGACGATCATCACCATCATCATCATCACACCAGACGCTCACCGTCATCATCAAGGCAAATCATCATCATCACAGCAGACGATCATCATCATCATCACGGCAGACGATCATCATCATCATCATCACGGCAGACGATCATCACCATCATCATCACGGCAGACGATCATCATCATCATCACGGCAGACGATCACCATTATCATCAAGGCAAATCATCATCACAGCAGACGATCATCATAGCAGACGATCACCATCATCATCAAGGCAAATCGTCATCACGGCAGACGATCATCACCATCATCATCATCACACCAGACGCTCACCGTCATCATCAAGGCAAATCATCATCATCACAGCAGACGATCATCATCACGGCAGACGATCATCATCATCATCACGGCAGACGATCATCACCATCATCATCACAGCAGACGATCATCATCATCATCATGGCAGACGATCACCATCATCATCATCATTGCAGACGATCATCATTATCATCATCACGGCAGACGATCATCATCATCATCACGGCAGACGATCATCACCATCATCATCATAGCAGACGATCACCATCATCATCAAGGCAAATCATCATCACAGCAGACGATCATCACCATCATCATCATAGCAGACGATCACCATCATCATGGCAAACTAAACACCCCAAAACATGTAAAATGTCGAATAGCTGTGCCGCTATTGCAAATACTGCGGTAACATTGATGTCAATTATACGCGTTAGATTTACGATGTTGTTGTAACTGGTTGTGGATATTTATTTGGTGCTTTCTACGTCTGATACAATGACAAGTCCGGTCATGTACACCAGCAGGCATCGTCAGGGTCCGGGATCGAACCCACGACCTCCTGTATACCAGGCGAGGTAGTTAATATCTCCACAGGGAGAGAGACACGCAGAATCCAAATATACAACAACCCAGGCAGGTGCTTCGTTTTGGTGGGGCTGATGGTAAGGCCCCACCTCTTAGTGGCACGCTCCAGTCTCAGCAGCAGCGTCTCCAACTCCTCTTCTGAATGAGCAGCTATTACCAAATCATCGGCATACATAACGTGGTTGACCAATAGGGAGCCATCCCTTGATCGCACCCGGGCGTCGATCAGCCTCCCATTATATCTGTACCAAATGGAGATTCCCCCGGTACAGCTATTGAAGGCTTCACGAACTACGCGGTCACACAGATATTAAATAATCGAACCCACGACCTCCTGTGTACCAGGCGAGGTAGTTAACATCTCCACAGGGTGAGAGACACGCAGAATCCAAATATACAACAGCAGGCATCGTCAGAGTCCGGGATCGAACCCACGACCTCCTGTATACCAGGCGAGGTAGTCAACATCTCTATATAAATCGCAGTATCGGCGTTGCTTTGGTGTTGTTGCGTGCGTGATAATAATTTTATTATGTTTTATTTTATTATTTTATTATTTCCATTCTACATGACTTTACCGAAATAACCAAGAAGAGGAAGAATAAAAATTAACCCGTAAAAACAAAGTTTTTCACTATAAATCCTTTATATGCGTGGCGGCTAGAGTCCTCTCGTCCTCTGGCTTGAGATGGCTGCCACCTATGGGTCAGATGATTGTCTGCCAGTATTAAGCAATTGGTAATTAAATATTTAATTTGTTTTCCCTAAACAGTGTAAAATTTTGGAAAAAAAATTTCACGAACATTAATTGTCTCGCACAACGAGTCTGTGTGCAAAATGTCAGCTCGATCGGATCACGGGAAGTGGGTTAAAAAACGACCGAAAGATTTGCACAGTCGTAAGTGCGCAAGCAAGCACGCAAGCACGCAAGCAAGCAAGCGAACTTAATATAAAGGATTTTTTAAAAAAAACTCGTTACGCAGAAGTTGTCTCACCTCCGCTCACGAACATCAACGCCACGAGGAGCAGACCCGGCAAGTGGCAAGTCATGGTTCGAGTCGTGGAGCCTGGCGTTGATGTGGCGCGTTTGGGATGGAAAGTCGGCGAGTTGAGACAGACAGAGACAAGAGTCAGAGACAAGAGTCAGAGACAAGAGTCAGAGAGAGAGAGACAGAGAGAGAGAGACAGAGAGAGACAGAGATAGATATTTCTGGAGCAGTGACTGAGTCTCCGTTGTGAACTGGGATCGGGGTAGACACTCCTACAAACATGTTTGCATATCACCGATAACCAGTTGGAGGTGGTATACAAAATATACTTATCGGAGCTGGTTGCTCAATATCAGCCCCCTCGATCCGGCCGAACAAAAGCTGTTTAGGCATGCGGTGGCTGGGCATGCAGGCTACATGGCCCAGCCAACGCAGCCTTGCCTGCCGGAGGAGCTCACCGATGGGACTTTGCCCAGATCTTTCGAGGATTTGTGAGCTCCTCACACAATCCAGCCTGCTGGTTAAACCCAGGATTGATCGTAGGCAGGCCAGCCGAAATGTTTCTAACCGGCGAAGATGCTCCATTAGGGGGGGTCCACGTTTCGCAAGCGTAGAGAAGGGAGGGAATGACCGTGGCCGAGAAGACCTGAAGCTTCGTGCGGAGCGACAGACCAGGTAGCTTACACACAGCGTTACGCAACCGATGAAAAGATATTGCCGCTCGACTGATTCTGAGTGAAATCTCTGCTGTCAAACTGGAGCCGGTCATGACCACACTGCCCAGGTATGGGAAACTCTCAACTCTCGCCACAACTGCCCCACACTCCTGGACATACACACACTTGTACAAACACAGGAACCGGCATATACCCACACACACCTGTATATACACACACACCTGCATGTAGACACCTGTAAATACACACCTGTACATACACATACCTGTACATATCCACATACCAGCATACACACAAACCTGCATACACACACTCCCGCTTGTTTGTATACACATACCCTTACATAAACACACACCTTTACATACACACACCTTTAAATACACATACCTACATATACACACACCTGAATGTACACACACTCACACCTGCATGTACACACACCTGCATATAAACTTTAATCTGCATGTAAACACACACCTGTACATACACACACACCTGTACATATACAAACATAAAGGCAAATACAAAGATCCCCCATTTAGCCTTGACAGACTCAAGGGGCAAGTGATGTTAGCGAGGACCTATGAAGGCCGGAACGGCGCGCGAGGGGGTTGGTGTCCAACATCACACCCGACCGCCTTTGTCTCCCCAGTATCGATGTTTATACATCGCTACTGGTACTCATTTGAGGCTGAGTCGACCTAGGGGGGGCCCAATACCGGTTTAGATAATTGTCGCGTGTGTTGGCCGTGAGAGGGAATCCAACTCGGGACGCCTGGCAGTGTAGTGCTAACTATTGCTCAAACGCTACACACACACAGACCCATAGACTCACCACACAGACACCCATAATATCTCCACAGAGAGAGAGAGACACAGACTACAAATATACAGCAGACGTTAGCGTCCGGCATCGAATCCACAACCTCCTGCATACCAGGCGAGGTAGCTAACATCTCCACAGGGAGCATAATGCAAATGTACAGCAGGAATCTGTCAGGGTCCGGGATCGAATCCACAACCTCCTGCATACCAGGCGAGGTAGCTAACATCTCCACAGGGAGAATAATGCAAATGTACAGCAGGAATCTGTCAGGGTCCGGGATCGAATCCACAACCTCCTGCATACCAGGCGAGGTAGCTAACATCTCCACAGGGAGAATAATGCAAATGTACAGCAGGAATCTGTCAGGGTCCGGGATCGAATCCACAACCTCCTGCATACCAGGCGAGGTAGCTAACATTTTCACAGGGAGAATAATGCAAATGTACAGCTGGAATCTGTCAGGGTCCGGGATGGAACCCTGCCTACTGCGAGTCCTGAGACTCCGTGATGAGTACCATCAACAATCGAGCTGTGGATAGACCACGGCTAATTTCAAGTTCTCTTCCCACCAAACTCCCTCTTAGGTTCTAGATTTGAAGCTTTTCGTGACTGCAAGGATTCATATTATTGGGTCTTTTCGGTAAAGTCACGTAGGTAAAAAAATGTAAATTAATAAAAGTAAAATAAAATAATATATTTTGCTTAAATTTAAAAATAAATTAAATTAAAAAAAGTTAAATAAAATAATATTTTAATTTTATTAATTGAAATTACATTTTTTTACCTACGTGACTTTACCGAAAAAACCCAAAAATATCCCTCTTAGGTGCCCTGTGGGGGGCTAACGCCCCCCCCTCCACTTCTCCCCCCGGTCGAATGATCGGCCTCCCTGCAACAGCGTCCCCTCGTGTGCCGTTCCGGCCTTCATTGGGTGGTGCTACTCGCTAACGGCACTTGCCCCGATAGTCTGTTACAGGCTACACGGAGGATCTTTGTCTTTGGTAAGTTTACCGGTCTCTAAATGTGTGTGTGTGTATGTCACACTGCTTTCGCACCATCATACGTAGCCAACCGTTTGCCAAACCGTTGCGAATCGGAGGTGCGGGGGTGAGACAGGACACCAAGCTGAACACGCAAACGTCGTGATTTTTTAAAAACACATTGTCCTACAGAGGGAGCTGGTAGGAACGTTGGGTTGCTCGGTCAATGGCCTGCAGGGTTAACGGCGGCGTGGTGTATTCCGCAAATATGCCCGACTGTGAGGGCGGGCACAAGCCGGCGTGAGTAGGTTAAACGTTGAGATTTGTAAGGGCAACACGGGATGACCAGCCCCTCCCCACCCAGCCCCACCCCTCCCACTTCCCACCCAGCCCCACCCTCCCCAACCCACCACCCAGCCCCTCCCCACCCTCCCCTCCCCACCCAGCTCCACCCCTCCCACTCCCCACCCAGCCCCACCCTCCCCACCCACCACCCAGCCCTTCCCCACCCTCCCCTCCCCACCCAGCCCCACCCCTCCCACTCCCCACCCAGCCCCACCCTCCCCAACCCACCACCCAGTCCCTCCCCACCCTCCCCTCCCCACCCAGCCCCACCCCTCCCACTCCTCACCAGCCCCACCCTCCCCAACCCACCACCCAGTCCCTCCCCACCCTCCCCTCCCCACCCAGCCCCACCCCTCCCACTCCTCACCCAGCCCCACCCTCCCCACCCACCACCCAGCCCTTCCCCTCCCCACCCTCTCCTCCCCACCCAGCCCCACCCCTCTCATTTTTGGATGCACGACGGACAGACCGACACAAGAATCCCCTGTGGGCTGGTGGAACCAGGTAGTTCCTACCAGTGTAATCTTTCTATCCACGCGACTTTTACCGAAAGACCCAAGGAGTGTGAACTCCTGCAGTCACGAAAGCTTGAAGTCAAGACAACAGACGTTTTTTTTAAAGAACAGCTTCAGAGAGAATGTTAACATTCGACACCGATGCATCCAGCATCATCGGGCAATTCGCCAGAATGGTGAGGCTCTGCTCTTGCTGTCGCATCGGATGCACAACCAACACGGCGATGAAACCCGATATGTACACCTTCACCCACGTGTAATAACAGCCATGGAGGGTTCACGTGGGTATTGGCTTGCCGGTCCCGCTTTGTAGCCAATAAGGGATGAGCCAGGGAGCATGGCCTCGGCGTGATCACGGCATGTCAGCAGGGGTGATTGGCCTGGCCAATCGGGGCCTCAGCTAACGGGGAGCCGGATCAGAGGCGTGGTCCCGGGATTGACAGGGAACCATCGGGAACGGTCAACGCTGTCTACGGAGGATTGGTTGGGGGGTACCACGTGACGAAGGGATTAAGAGAGAGAGAGAGGGAGCAGTCGTGAGCAGACTTGGGAACGAGAAGAGCGGGAGTCACGCGCGTACGGGGGCTCTGGGTGCCACGTGCGCGGTGGGGACTTGGCGGGAAGTCTGCCCTCTCTCCGTTGTCTGCCAGCAACGGGGAGTGTGTGTGTGAAGTGTAACTGTGGAAGTTGAAAATAAAAAGGACTGATTTCGGAAGCCGTCTCAAGAAGGTTTATTACACACACACAACACGGATGGCAGGGTTCCCCGACCCCCAGCTACCGTTCCATCCCCCAGGTGGTGATAGAGCGAGGACAGAAGAACTGCCTAGCGCTCACGCACTCACACACCCCAATGCGGACGTCTTCCGACATCCCGGGACGAGACGTCATGAGTCAGAGCCAACCCACGTCCTGGGGCGAAGAAGTCGCGCTTTAGGGACGCCCCCAGGATCTGCATTTTAGTTAAAGAAAATAGTTCGGCGTGAAACTTGGGGTGTAAATGGCGGCCGCAGGCGCAAACCGTATCCCCGCGGTTTCCCGCGCTCACACAAAATGGCTGCCACACGCGCGAACCGCATCCGCTTCACACAAAATGGCGGCCGCACACGCGAACCGCATCCGCTTCGTATAAAATGGCGGCCACATCCGCGAATCGCATCCCCGTGGTTTCCCACGCTTCGCACAAAATGGCCACCGCTCGCGCGAACTGCATCCGCTTCGCACAAAATGGCGGCCGCATGCGCAATTTCCCGCGCTCGCACAACTTAGCAGCCCTCCCTTGCGTTGGCCGTATCGGGGGAATTTTAACCCATTCGCTCTCCAAGACTCGCATCGCAGCATATAGCTGTACCGACCGAGCTGAAAAGACCCATCGCTCACTCACTGCACAACATGCACCCTAACAACTGAGGGATATAGTCCCAACGTAACCGGACAACTACACCTGAACACTACGAATCTCCAGCCCAAAGTTTCAACGCGCCTCGGAGTGTCTTGATCTCCTGGTCGTCAGGGCGAGCCTACAGCTCCAGACGCACCACGGAGGGTCTCAAGCTCCGGGCCGTCAGGTCAAGCCGTCAGCCGTAAGATGACGGGACCACAACGCTCTTGTTAGACACTCACTGGGCCATCCTGGTCAGGATCTGCGCCCCAAGATAGGCGACAGCCAGCACCACAGTTCCAAATCACTGGCCTCATGTCACCATCGCAATTTAAATGCTCCATACCAATGACGGCAGAACCATAAACCAAGACAGTCATCCCTCACACAATCGCAATTTCACACCATCACAACACATACAATTTGAATTAGGATCCCCCACTGAATTTATTCAATGCCGA